ACTTTAATGTCATTGTAACTGCCTTCCATATAGAAACCATTGAACCGCTCCACTTGACCATTGCCTTGAGGGTTGTAGCTTGTTGTTCTGCTGCAGGCAATACCTTTGCTACCCAAAAAACTCCTGAAGTTCTTTAAACTCATGAACGAGGATCCCCTTCTGAATGGATAAAAGCTGGCATACCAAAAATAGAGAACAACTGTGAAAGACAACTAATAACAGTTGAAGCAGCCATATTTGCACGGGGGAAATACAAAGGGAAACCTTGATATTCACTACATGTTAAGGAAATACCTATTCTGTTTTGTGCTTGGTAGAGGCCCTTTAAAATTCTATTTTCAATCTTTCGAAAGGCTGGGGGATTATGAATGAGTCTTCTTGGCTGATGAAAGTTGGCTTGCACTTTTGCACATACTCTGCATGCTCTGATCACTTGTCGCACATATTTCCACTGATTAGGGCATGTTTTCTTTGATTTGACAAAATGGACAGGCGTGAAAACTCCGGGGTGACACAAAGCCTTGTGGAGAGCTGAGAGTGATTGCAAATCATGACATGCTGCTCCAAATTGGGACCTAGAAAATTTGCATCAGGTGAGATGTTCTCTTGACCCGGTCGGTACAGAATATCAAAGTCAATAACACGATAGTTCCCATCCTCCAGCGTAATATCTTGTCATTCTTTATCCTACTTTGGCCTCTTGTTCGAACTTATACATCACGGACCGTTGGTCAGCCCCTTTATGGTGAAATGCTACCAGTTAAATAATGCCTCCAGTGGCGAACTGCTTCTATGATGGCCTGGGCTTCCTTTTCTACAGCAGCATAACATTTCCCCTGATCCTTGAAAGTTCTCAAAAAAGAAGGCTACTGGTCGTCCTGCCTGAGATAAGACTGCAGCAATGGCAATGTCAGATGCATCCTTTTTCCACTTCGAATGGTAGGGACTCATCAAGGGCCCTTAAAACTACTGAGTTTTCAATGTCCGTTTGAGAGTATGGAAAGCGGCTTCTGCTTCCTTTGTCACAGGAAATGTGGTAGCACTAAATGGGCGGACTTTACTTGAATAGTTTAGATCCATGGAGTAAATAAGCAAAGAGACCAAGATTTTCCTTCGGAGTGACTTTTTGTTTTGGGCATTGGAAGTTCCCGTAGAGGTCGTTAGTCGTTCAGGGTCGGGGAATATTGAACCTCCTTCCACTACAAAACCCAAGGATGCAAAGGGCCTTTTAGTTAAAAAGTGAAACTTTTCCTCATTGTAACTGATATTTTTCCTTTTGGCGGCTTCCAAAAACTTTATCAAGGTTTGCATCATGTTCCTCCTGGGTCTTGCCAAACAAATGGTAACATTATCTAAATACGCGTGGGTTTCCCCCATGATTTTGCTCTTCCAAAAATGAGTGAATCCATAATTCGTTGGAAGCGGGCTACCCCATTGGTGACTCCAAAAGGGACTCCAGGTAAACTGATACAGGCCATCACTAGCCTGAAACGCTGTGTAGGGTTTTATCTTCATTCCTTATAGGACTTGATGATAGCACTCTGCAGATCAATTGTGCTAAAAACGTAGTACTGAGCAATTTTGTTCACTGTATCGTCAATTCGAGGTAGAGGGTACCCATCAAGAAGTGTAAATTTTTTGGGAATTGTCTCAGAGTAATCGATAGCCAGTCTCCGTTTCCTATAACCATCTTTAACAACAACAACCTGTGCACGCCAAGGGAATCACTCGGTTCTATAATACCCCCTCCTTCAGCAGCCTCTGATTTTCTTTCTCAATGAACATCCATCCTCATAAAGAATAGCGGCGTGACTTAGCTGATATAGGATGGCAATCCGCGGTAAGATTTGCAAACAGCTTTGGTGGGTCTACCCTTAAAAAAGTGCTAAGTCCACAGACAACAAAGGAGGCAGTTCCCCTCCATATTTTAAAGTGACACTACCATGCAGCTTCTGAAAGTCCTGACCAAGGATAACATCAGAGCACATTTGTGGCAGAATAGCTAAATGTACATCTTGATAATCCTTCCATTAACTCTGAGATTAACCTTACAAAACCCTAAGGTCTGAATAAGAAGAGGTTGTTGCCATGGAAAACGGTACCTGATGATGATGAAAGGTCAAGGAGAGCCGTTTAACTAAGTCAAGGTTGATGAAACTCCTGATCTGCCACTATAAATAAGACCATTTTTACTTCTGTTCCTTTAAAGAATACTTTCACAACTGCCTTTGACAGTAAAATTTTGAGTAGCCGCAGAATTTCACTGTTGCAGAGTCGCATTATCACTGGAATGTGTGGAGGCACTAGCTCTTGTTGATGCATTTAGCACGACAACTTTACAAAGTGACCTTTCTTTTTGGCATATTTATGGCACATTGCTTCACGAGCAGGACACTTTGGACGTGGATGTCTTGAAAAACCACAAAAAAACACACCGTTACCTGCTGCTGCTGTCACTGAGGCAGGTTCCCCAGTAACTTCATTGCAAGGCTTGGTCAGGAATTGCAGCACTTACCACTCGAGAAGGCTGAGTGGTACTGTATACTTCAGAATCTTCTGGGGTGAATCTAGAGCTCTTGCCTGGTCAAGGCAGGGGGCTAAAATCGAGAGTTTTATTCTCCAATAAACGCTGCCTTATTATTGGTGATTGCAGGCCACTGATAAAAGCATCCCTGATGGACTCATCACAAAACTGAGCAGCTGTCACTGCTTGGGAAATGACAGTCCTTACCTAAAATTTTCAGTGCTTGAAAGTATTCCTCTAAGGACTCATCAATCTGCTGGCGGCGAGTTGCAAGGCGATAGCGTGCAAAGATTTCATTTGTAGGTTTAATATATGAGAGTTGAGGGTTTGATAGCATCTTCGTAGGTATTTCACTCAGAAATAGCCTCAAAATCTTAAGGGGACACAAAATTTATTTAGCAATTTAGTTTATTAGATCTTCTTTAGGAAGGGCTCCCAAGAAGTTTTCGAAAGTCTTTAAAACCCCCTGCTTCCATTTCCCGCGCGCCGTTGATAAGCTGGGGGTCACAGTCTAGCCTCTCAGGTTTCAGTAAACGCTCCATGTTGTGATGTAGTTTTAGCGCAGGATCACCACCAGGTAGCCCAGGATTCTATGTTCAATAAATTGTTGTGATAGAAACACAGCCTTATCTCTAGGCTTTTTTTGACATAGAATCTTCATAGTACTTCTGCAACAACAAAATAAATGACTAGTACATCTAATAATGACCTCTACAGGGATGGTGATGTCTTGCATATGTCAAGAGAAAAGTTATAACTACAGGCCACATATTTAAACTCACCATGTAATCTGCATCGCTGATAAATGGATAAAGTAGGAGAGAATCACACACCATGTGTTGGTACCCATGACACACACCAAACTGTTGTTGTTGTTAAGGGCCCCTAGAGGTGGTGCAGTATTATCCTGCTGCTGCTCCCCACAGGACCAGTATTACTACAATTGTTAAACTATAAGTAACAGATCAGGCATCAGATTTGATGCAATCCCTGACAACGGTGTCTAAATGAATCATAACAGCTACTAATAAATGATAATAAAAGGCATATGTATATACATTTAAAGTTTATTAATAAACAACTGGGTTAAATAAAATTATTATTATTATTATCAAAAAAGAAGCGCTAAGCCACAAGGACGACAGGGTGGCCCGGTGGCCTGGTGGCTAAAGCTCCCGCTTCACACACGGAGGGCCCGGGTTCGATTCCCGGCGGGTGGAAACATTCCGACACGTTTCCTTACACCTGTTGTCCTGTTCACCTAGCAGCAAATAGGTACTTGGGTGTTAGTCGACTGGTGTGGGTCGCATCCTTGGACAAGATTAAGGACCCCAATGGAAATAAGTTAGACAGTCCTCGATGACGCACTGACTTTCTTGGCTTATCCTGGGTGGCTAACCCTCCGGGGTTAAAAATCCGAACGAAATCTTATCTTATCTCAACCCTGGCCGACACGGCAGGTTTTGTAGCGGGCTAGCTGCGGGGTTTTCAAGGATAGCTCCTGGTCAAAGAGGGTGACCAGGTCCCTACTTAACAGAACTCTTGTGAATGCTTTGGAGAAAATACCAGAGCAGCGAACGGACATCCCAGTGCATCGTTTCAGTGTAAATAGTTGAAGTGTTGTGCAGTTTTCAGAGGATTTGGTGTTGTCGAGTCAGGACCAGTCAGCGCCTCCCCCCTCTCCCGCTGGGGGGGGGGGGAGGCGTGTGTAGTAAAAAAGTGACCCTTTCATAACGCCTCAAACCTGCGCGTCTCCCCCGCCTCACCCACCCAACTCCCCGCGCCACCCCATCAGTAAGGGTACTTTCTCCCCTAACCCACGATGTCAGCGATGGCACTGCAGGATGCCGGGCTCACAGGGAAATTCCACTACAGGGACAGCATCGTGGAGTTCGACCGCGAGGCAGCTGTCAGGTGTGCCACAGGCAGTGTGTACTCAGTTTCCTCAAGCTTCAACATCCGTGCACACGAGGGCCTGGGATCTTCAATCAACTTGGCGTCCAACCAGGACGCTGACATTGTCCCTGGGGAGCTCTTCATTCGGCTGCTAACGGAGTCACTGGCTTCTTGGACCTCTTGGGGAGGGTCGATGATGCTCGTGCAAGCAGCAGATCCCAGGGCAACTTGCTGCTGTTTGCAATGGCTGTCTACCGAGGAGAGAACAGGCACCTAGCAACATCTGTTGTTGGGGCAAGGATGAATTCCCTGCTATGTTTGTTTACTGCTCATTACTCTGTAATTTGTCTATGATGTAATCATGTGATAACGTGTTTATCATTTCATTACCTTTGAAACTGTCATGATTTTTGACCCCGCTCTACCTGGAGCTCATTACCTTTTGTAAATTCTCATGATTAATGTGTTTATGATTCATTACCCTTTGCAATTATTCATGAGTGTGACCAGCTCTACCTGGAGCTCATTACCTTGTTTAAATTGGTCATGATTATGACCAGATCTAGTTCATTACCTTTGTAACTTGCTCAGCTATCAAAACTTTGGAGTCCAGTCCCTGGACCAATTATGTACCTCTGTAATCTTTTGACTACCGCCCACAGGATGGGTATGGGGTGCATAATAAACATATTAAACTAACTAACTAGCCACAAGGACTATACAGCTGGGTTAAATAAAAGGCACAGTAACTTGATTTCAATAATTTTAACACATTTGTAGTAATTGACATTATACAAAAATTGAAAAAATATTACAAAAATATGGATATGTCACAAAATGAGTATCCTTTCTGTATTTATTATGACATTAAACATGTTTATCAGAAAAATTTAAGCATCTTGTTCCTTATGGAATTCCAGAAAACAATTCCTCATTGAGTTTAGACATAGATTAACCTTGCAGTAGGAACAAGAAACGGAAGAGTAGGTCCTCTTGTTCTTGGTGTTGCAATGTTTACATGAAAGCCTCTTTGTATAAACTGGCCAATGAGAGAGTGTTTCATCATATTTTGTATCATCATGAGCCCTTTTTCCATGCCGACTGAAAAACTCTTCAAGTGAAGAAGATCGTTTAGAAGACCGTGAAGTTGAACACTTTGGAGACAGTCTCAGGCTCCTTGGGATTTCCTTGGTTGGTCTTCTTGCAGAATGGGAGATGGAAAACCTGAATTCCTTGAGGTTCATGTATTTCTCTTTCAAAGCACCACAGTCACGCCTGTACAACAACCAGCCGTTGACACAACAAAGATCAATGATATATCCAAAGAGCCTCATGTACCAGCGTTTTGCTTTGAGTGGAGACTTGTAGAGATGAACCAACATATCATTCTTATCTATACCTCCCATATGGGCATTATAATTCTTTATGACTGAAGGACAATCAACATCAACCTTTTGTTTGGTCTCCTTGCTGTACCTCTTTATCTTTGTCACAGGGTTGATGCCCATGTCATTTGTCAATAAAGTAACAACCTTACTGTCTTTCCAACGCACAGCAAGGACACCATCCAATGAACAGTAATCCATAACACCCCTTTTCACCTTTTTTTTTTCCATGTCATTGACAGACATAAGTGGTGGATTTCCAATCCTATTTTCCTTTGCAGTACCTGTGTACCTGCAATTGAATGTAGTATGCAGATATTTCACTAGAGGCAAACTGGTAAAGAAGTTATCTGCATAAATTGCATTAGTCTTTGTTTGGTCCATAGTCTTTGCAAGGCAAATAACAACCTTGGAACTTATAGGCATTTCTTTCTCCTCCTCTGTTAGGCTAACATTGTGATAATGAAAGGTTGTTTTACCTTGATACATCATTATGTCATGTATAAACCCATCATCACTGGCACGGCAAAAAAGTTTGAAACCCCATTTATCAGGCTTGGTCCTGATATATTGCCTGAGGTTTCCTGCTCTTGTTCCCTTATATCCCACCATTAACTCATCAACTGATTGTCTAGGTGTAGCAGGAACTTTTAGGCATGCTTTTGTTAGACCATCAAACAGTGGTCTTATTTCATGGAACCTGTCACCTGTTGCGTTCTTATTTTCTGTTTTTGGCCCTTCCCCT